GAAAGGTAAACCTAAATTACAAATTTAGAGACGCAGATAGGATGAAATAAATTAAGGAAAAAGCATGTGAAAAAAGCATTTTTATATATACGAGAACATATACGAGAATGTTTACTTCATATGTTGACTAAACTTTCATCTGGCGATGTTGAGTATTTTTGGAAATTTAATTTTCAACTATAAAATACATTTGGGAATACGTTGTGTATTTTTATTTAATAAATTGGTTTATGCAATTCTTATCAAATTGCAAACAAAAATTTGATTGAAATGCTCTTTATATGTTTTCGTCGTTTGCTCGTTAGTTTATTCAATTTTATTTATTTATTTTCAATCATTTGTGCTCACAAAATCGAGTAAAAAAATCGAAAATAAAGAAAATCAATTTCAGTTCGGATTCAAGTTTATTCCCAAAAGCTTTTGGAAAAGATTGTTAATGGAATTTCTGAAATGTTAGGCCCACTACATTAGACATTTCATTAATATAAGCAAGAGGTACTCCATATTTCATTGTATGTACTCATATATATATTCATATGTGAGTGGTATTTATTCTGCCACTTGATACCTACGAAGCAATACTTTTAGCTTTCCTTTCAATGAATATTGTAAATGTAAACACTTAAGTTATCTGCAGCTACAACACTAGCAACTTAAATAGAACTGCCGTAAAGACGAACATAAAATATATTTCCCATAAAACAAACAGGCATTTGTGCAAATATCGCATATTATATAAAACAATATTCAATTTAATTTCTTCAATTAAATTTACTTTATGGACTTTCGAAAAGCCTTTCATATTTCAGTCTATAATTGTCAGTGTTCTCTCGTTCAATAAAAAGGATGTTTACATTATTTCAACAGAAAAATTGGGTGCAGTTCCCTTCTGTTATGTTTCTAATTCAATTACGTAAGTTAAGAGTGCAAAGCCGATATAGTTTACATTGTGGGTTTGGGTGTGACGAATATTTTAAGGTTTGCTTTCAATTTTTTTCAGAAAAACGACTACTTATTTATATATGGAATAATAAAGACTTGTGTGCAATAGAATACTTAACTATTGCATATTTTTAATATATAGTTTCATATCAAATGGAATTAGTTAAAAAGCTTTAATTGAAAATAAGCCTAGAAATATTTCACTTACCGCCATCGTTGTCGATATTGTCCTTGCAGTTCATTTCCAATGCAATCGAACAATCGGAGCCTGCCCAACCATCAATGCAATCACAGCGATATTCGCCATTTTCCAAGGTACACTGTCCGTGGCGGGAGCAACCATTTTCACAACCGGCTAAAATGAAAGGATGACAAGGCATTAAGTAAAAAAATTCGTAAAAAATCTCTACAATAATTTTAAAAATGTCAATAAAGTGAAAATAAAAACATTAACAGATTAAAAGTATGGCCCGTTCTTATGCAATTTAAAAACGAATTTTAATGCATATTTGAGCGTATGTTATGACCCCAAGGATGTCAAAAATATTTATGTAATATTTTATAAAAAACATTAAAAGTATTCGAAAACAAAAGTTTCATAAATAATTTGATTGAAAAAAATTGCAATAAAATTTGGTTTTATATACAATGAAATAATTAACAATTTAGGGAGAACAAAGTTTAAGGTTATTAAGAAATTCGGAAATATCCCTGAAGTTTTAAATAATAAGATATTTCCACAAAAATTTAATTAATATAAAATAACTAACACATATTTACTTCACAACACATACATAACTTCCACCATTCTTAAATGATTTCATGGTACAAATCCTGTACCATGATACTACTAAGGCTATAGGTATCATCCTGGATACTAAACATGTCAAAAAGAAAACGGAAGAACTTATGTTGTAAAAAATTAATATGCATTAGTTCATGAATATACGATCTATGAAAACAGAAACAATTATAAATCAATGACAGAAAAATATTCAATGGATAATTCTCAATTATTCGAATAAAAAGACTAAAGCCAGACACAAGTAGATTTGTTCAAAGCAACTTTAGATAGCCTCATATGGGATCGGAAAATCTGAGCTCAGTGTCCCTGTAAAGTTAACACGACAGTGCAGAATTGACGTTGAAGCAATATCTCTAGCTCGGCCAAGGTATCATCGAGCCTCTCTGAACCTTTTTGTACCGTACGAGCTTTTAGTCAGGTTGGTCCTTTCCATTTGATCTCTGCAATTCCCGTCACGGAAGTGATAATGTGCAGGAAAGCTACATATGTGTCCAGCTCCTTGCTTAGGCCTCAACATCATTGGGATTAGCAAGCGAAATGTCGAAGCTATCTTTACTACTATCGATCACAAAGAAATCTTCGGCACATGAGCGCAGAATGGGAGTAACAAAAATGCAACGATGTTTGTCTGGAGGTCAGACAAAGAATTATTAAATGCTCAATAGGTATTACAACCAGAATTTACGATCTATAGGTCGGAGATCCTATCTGTGCTTCAGTATAACGCAGAAGCATGGATACTATCACAGAATGATAAACCAGCATTGGAAGTTTCTAGGAGAAAAATTCTTCGTAAGATTCATGGTGCTGAATTAGCGAAAACTACTGCATCGGAATCAATCACGAGTTGTATGAGTTTTAATACGTCATGGATATAATTCAGCGAATCAACATACATCATCTGCGCTGGCTTGGTCATATTGTGAGAATGGATGAAGATGTTCCAGCCAAAAAGGTATTTGAAACTGTAGTTGGAAGAAGAAGGCTTAGCGATGGATTGTGTTTTCGGTGAAGTAATCAAGTTGAGAGAGCACCAACCACATTATATTTATAAGAGTGAAAGAGGAGCGCACGAATTAAAGATGGTTGGAGAGGAACGCAGCGTCATGCTGAAACCCAACAACAGTTTGTTATGGCAACTCAACTTAATTAGGTTTAAAGTTAGAATATATTAAAAAGCACTTTACTGAAGAGGTTTGAGGTCATATATATTTATATATATACATTTTAAAATATTGTAATTTATTTCACACCTTTGGAAATACTTATTAAAATACTGTTGTTTCTCTTCTTCATATATGAATTAGAAAAGTTTGACTATAATTTTAAGTTCTATTTATTTCAATAAATTTTAATTTTCATTTTAATATAAGCTAATATAAATTACTACTGTATATTTTCAAATAGAATTGCAAGATTTCCTGAACACTTTCATATAAATATCTTATAAACATTCCATTATAATATAGAGAAACTTGATGTTGAAAATAAAGTAACTCTAATTAAGAAGTTAAATTTGCTTGAATTAAAGTTTCATGACAATGACATTTTTTCATCAATTAAATACACAACACACAGGACCATTCATAAATTTGTTTCAAAAGTGTCCTATCCTTAAATATATGCAAAGTAATCTCCACTTAAATGTCAATTATTTTTGTTAGCCACCAAAGACAACTAACTTCAAATTGTATTGCATTCTCAGGCTAAATTGAATTTAAACTTTCTAGACAGACAAATAAAATATAACCAACACACAAAAGACTAAAAATAATGTATAGAAAAAAGACAAAAATACGAAAAATAAATCTAAACATAAAACGATAAATTGTCAAAGTGATATTGGAAAAATGTTAGAAATTTACTGAATTGAATCAATATGCTAAGCAAGTTGCCAACAACAATGAGAAGCAACACAACAATAAAATTTAAAAGTTTTACCACAAAAAATGGAAGAAAACTATTTTCGAATTTTCGTTTATTTATATTGAAATTGACAAATTTTCTGCAGAACGTAATCAAGTCAATAAAAAAACAAAATAACAAATACAACAAAAACAATAAAAAACTAACTTAAGGTCTTTGTATTAAATTTAGATTACAACATAAAAAATAAACACACCACAGTTTCAGTTTCGAGGAGGGAAAAAAGAATGATCCAGAACTGCTGTCAACTGTCAAATCACTCCGTCATGCAATGTCATTTCCAAGAGACAAGCGAAAATCACACGCAAAAGCCACCAACCAAAGTGTCTGTAGTACAAACGCAAGGACGCACTGCGAGTAAAGCTGAGCTGAGTAAACAAAAAGGAGTATTTTTAAATCAATTGGGAGCAAAGTAGTAGCAATAATAATGGCAGTGTGCAGAAAATGTCTAAAATAAGTACTAAAACTTATCAGCGAGAAGATAATCTATACCACTTTACGGTATAAACATGTCACATGCAACAAAGCTCAACCAACTCCTCCCACACCACACCACCCACTCCACCCACTTCACCCACAACGCGAATTATTGCTGTAACATTTACAACTACAACTGCCGCGTTGGCATGTAAACAATTTTATTTTTTCCTGTTTATACGCCAATTTTTTTGGCTTTTTTGAATTGAGTTTTTATTATTTCAACTTGGCAAGACATTAGTTCGCTAAAATATCCTAGAAGTAGCGCAATAGCTGTAGGAATATCCCCGTTTCAGACCCCATAAACTTAGACTGGAACGCAGCATGCTGATAATATTTGATGAAGATGATTTTGCAAAAATAGCGGAAAAGAACTGTAATCGTATAGTCCTTTCAAAGCAACAATAGCAACAATAGCAACAACTCCAATAATTCCAACAACAACTACGACAACAACTACAACGAGGACAACAGCGAAGAAAACTTTTCAAATTGGCATAAAAAATAAATAGGTAAGCGTATCTTGTAGTATAAAATGTGGCGCTGAGTTAATGTCACTTGACATGTGTCATTTACAAAAATGGCAAGCTCAGAGTTATCACAGCTTCCGGTATAAACCTAATCGCTACATTCATGTAACTTTTGCGTGTAATCGAATGTCACACAGGAAAGCGGTGAGCGGCTGGCATATTAAAAACTTTTGGCGCATAATGTAGCATTAGTAGTAGTGGATGGAACTTCTTCTCCTTCATTTTTTCATTTTTTCACATTTTCTAGTTGCTATTTTTGCTGCCATTTTGTTATGGCATTTCCGTTAATATTGGCATTATTGGAAAATAACACAGCCAAGTTATGCAAACCAAAAAAAAAAATAACAACAGATATTGTTGGTAACTGTATGTTTTGCTACCGAAAATCACTCAAAAAAGTCGTTAAGTACTTTCTAAATTGCATGAGTTTATGCTTATACGAGTGGCTCCTTACAACTAGCATTCAGGACTCAGAACTCAGGATTCAGGATTCCGTGTTCCGGTATGTGTGTCGTCTGCTTGTTTATGTGAAGGAGGAAGTTTTATTGGTTTTTCACACGACACCAATATGCTAATATATTACTTTTTCGTGGTTGTATACTTTCACAATTTGTCTGCAAAATGTCAAACTTCAAATTGATCGATACTTTTCTTTTTCTTTCTGTTTTCGTTTTCGATTTTGTTTTTGTTTCATAGTTTTTTGCGTTGAGTTGGGGAAAACTTTTCATATTTGGAAAATAGATTTTGTTTCATGCAAAAACTAAAATAAATAAAATCCCTAAACTAGTTTAGCAATTGTTAATATCAAACTAATAAAACTTTGCATATATGAGTAGTAAATTTTATTGTTATACGAGTATGCAGTCAATGTGCAAAATAAATAAATTTTTAAACGAATTCCATATTTAGCAAAATATTGCAAAATAATGTGTGTAATATAAAAAATATCAGTGAACACATACATTTCTATGCCATACCAACGATACATTAATTTAGGTTTAACTCGTCTAAGGTAATTTAACATAAAGTCTTGTTCACACTCACTAAACGAGTTAAAGAATGAGCTGTTGTGTTTATATTTTGTTTGTGTGCTAAAATAAATATTGAATATTGAGACTACAATTACTATAATGATAGAAAACTTCATACAAATTCAGACATCTCTGCTTTTAGATTTCTTTTTTCTGAATCTCTGTTTTCTAAATCTTTTTTCTTTCTCCAGAAAACTGATTTCTGGTATTTAAATAAGTTTTTTTCTATAAAACAAACTGATTTAATGTATCGCATTAGATAGAAGTTTTATCAGTTTAAGGGAATAATTCAAATAGGACGAATGAAAATCGGTGTGCAAAGATAATTATTATCACTATTATAGTTAAACAATTTATTTAAAATCTAACTTGTTTGACAATATCTTCCTTATATTGAATATAAACATGTTTAATCCATTTATTTCAAAAACTTGTATTAGTATAAAACTAGTATTAGTGGCAGGTCAGCAGATATCTTTCTGCTGTCTACATTTAGCGCCTTTTCCCCGTTTTACTAACACATTCCTCACAACAAACCTTAAGGTACAAAAAGAAGACAAAAACTAGATTCATCACGTTGAATTTATATTATTTCAGACCTTGCACCCTTACCGATCTACAGTCTGACACTATTGTTAATATATAACTTCCCTAAAAACCCAAAGTTGAGCCAAAGTTGAGCATTCATAGAGAAAATTCCTGATTTCTTTTTCCTGCAACTGTCCAATAGCTTTAACTGTTCGAGTCACGGGAGTTACTGTTCTTATGTATGGAGCAGTGGGCAATTCGCGCATGAGCGCGTATGGACGGGGTACCTCTGATGAAGTTGACACACTTAGGGCCATGTTATGCAGAGTGTCTCGGGCACGGCAAATTTCGCTCTTTCGGGCTATGCCGAAAATGCATGTTATGCAGAGTGTCACATCAGTATTGCCAATTTTGTGTTTTTACTACTTCTTGGTTGTGCCTAAATTTGAAAGGAAATTTAGATATGCTCACTTTCAATTTGCCACCAAAAATAACTCGCATGAAAAAACACATAGAGGCTGTAATAATGTTAATTTATTATTATATTATCTTATAATAATTGTTAACAGTACTTACGCCTTTCATTGAAATCGGAAAGTGTAATAATTATATTATTAGTGATTTATAAAAAAAATGCTGTGTTGCTTACTGCCATTTTTCTCCAAATCGTACTAGAATTGTAGTAGTTTGCTCCTAAAAGGCGCAAATTTTGAAATTTATTACTAAACAACACTGTTTTGCCTTAGTGCCGGGGCACAAATACGCCGGCTCTCATGCCGGAGTTTGAACGGCCATATTCTTTTTTCTCTCATTCTCAAATTTAAAATTTGCATTGAAAACAACAACAATTGTACTCATGCCGTGCCCGAGACACTCTGCATAACATGGCCCATAACATGGCCCTTAGAAGATTGATGTGAGAGTTTGCTGTGCTAGTTTAGGATGTTTGAAGCTATGGGCTTCTATTGCAGAAGTGGTTAGACAGTGAAAATGTAATGGACAAGTTATTTTGGGATAAAAAAAACTACTATATGTTACTATCTTCAAAGAATGTGGTGCAAGTTTTACAAAAATAATATAAAAGCTATATTTTAAAAACTATGAGTAAAATATAATAAGAAAAGCCACACACAAATAAAATAAAACAAAATAATATATACACAAAATATATATAATATTGTACTTTATATATAAAAAATAAAAATATTGAAACTGAAGTTAAACCAAATAATTTATATAATATATATTTAATAAAGAATATTCCTTGACATTTGTGGTGGTTTGATGTATGACCTTTTGTCCAAACCCTCGGCTCAGAACACCAACTCCTAGTATTGAACATTAAAATTGAAAACCTATAGTGTTCAACAATTATACCTTTCCAGCAGCGGGGGTGGGCACTTAAGTGCGACCCATACGCATGGTTACAAGTGCTAATTTGCACTTGAGTTCTTAATTGTTTTGTAATGCAAAAGCAGGAGTTTTCGTTAAGCAGCAACAAATAAACAAATATAAACAGAAAGAAACTTGACTAACTTACAACACTGAACACACTCAACGCCGCACTAAGCAAGGGAAAAAAGGCCACTCGAAACGAAACTTGACATCTGGCACCGCCACTGCTATTAGTGTTGCCTTACTTCCGCACCTCTCTGCGGCGCTGTGCCTGTGCTGCAGTGCCAGTATTTGTGGGTAAACTTAAAACTTATGACAGCACCTTAATGTGTTTGACATTGGGTGTAGCGGCGTAAAGTGTCGCACCGTAGTGTCGGTTTGTCGACGGTTTCATGACGTTCACGTTGCGTTGCGTTGCGCTGCGTTGCGTTGCGTTGTGTATTGTGTACGTCATTTGGCAAATAAACATTTGCAACAAATTCGGCTTCTTTAACAAAACAGAGCAACATTCGCGTCTCAGTCGAGCTTAATTACTGAAATTTTGACTTCATTTTGTTTTGTTTCATTGTATTTTATTGCGAAAATATTTTTAAGTCAAAGGAAATGCCGGGATGCATAACGGCGTACAGTGAGCAGGAAACAAACAATAAAAGGACCTGTTATTATATTAAATTGTGGCGAATCAATTTTAATGGCATTTCTAGTTGCGTTTGTTCCCTTCAAAAACTAACTCGTGTTTGGCGCTCAATTGCTGTTGCTATTGTAATTGTTGCTGTTGCTATTGTAATTGTTGTTGTTGTTGGCGTTGACGTTGGTATTGGGTTATTGGTGTAGGTGTTGCAGGAAGTGAAATTGTGTTTTACGATGGTAGTTAATGAACTTGATGGGTGCTCGCAGGTGGGGACTCATAATTGGCAGTGTTTGTAATGTTGCGGCCAAATTAGGTCCTTGTTTTGTGTTGTTGTGAATTTCTGCTTAAAATTCGATTGTGGCTATTTCAGTTGGCACTTGGGACTGAGGCGCGGTCTCGGTAATGCCGCCAAAACTAATATCGTTAAATTACAAGTTAACAGCCAGGAAATATTTTTGAATTTACTTAATTGCAGTAAATTCATGTTAATAACTGTCAATTAATGCTTCGAATTATGGCTTTCTGGGGAAAAAGTTCACTTGAACCAATAAATTATTGTAAAATATATTAAATATATAAGTATACTTTTCTTTAGATATGTCAAAGCTAAATCTACATTTGATATTAATGCAAATTTATGTTTAAATAAAATTTTATAAGTTCCTTTTCGGAATTCAAATAGAATAGAACTTACGCAATGTGCAATGTCTGCCATTCCATCCCTGCGAGCATACACATGTGCCATTTTTGCATTGTCCATGCTCGGAGCATCTGGCATCGCATGGCAGCTGATCACATAGATTTCCGGTCCAACCAGGATTACAACGGCATTTTCCCGATTCGCAGACACCATTTGGTCCACAATCCAGGCTGCAGACAGCTGCAATTGAAAAATGAAAATAAATTAGTTGGAAAATATTAGAAAAATTATGACCGGATTAATTTGCTTTGCAATGACGATATGCTTTGCAACATTTCTTACTAAATCGTAACGTATCGTATGTATTATATGTAGATATGTGTGTTCAAAAGGATTATACAGGACATAAATTATTTCAACTAGTCTCAACCATTTGAAATTTATGTAGTTCATTTGTATTTAAAGGCTTTCTCGTATTTAAAGGCTTTCTCGCTGAAATTGCGTAAACTTAAGGATATCTGAGTAAATAATAAGGAAATTATTAGTGTTGATAATGTCTTATAATTGCTACAAGGATTAGTCCTATTTTCATGAAATTATTGAACGAGTACCAGTTGGTAAATTAGACAATCTACTTAAAATTTAATTTAATTAGGATGATTAGACTACTTTATTATGCTTTTAATAACACAGTAACGTTCTAGCGATATGCAAAATATCAGTAGCAGCACACACTAATTTTAAAATTGAAATGGATATTATTTAGAATAATATTATTATTAATATTGATATCAATGGTATTAATGTTAGAGAACATGCAATTTAAAAATCCGATAGTAGTTTAGATGCAGTATGAGATCAAAATCCTTGTTGTTGAGGTTTTAATTGTACCATCATAGTCTGGTGATAATACCACATGTAATAACAGGAGAAAAGTATCAATGTGGAAGATCTATATATTATGTTTAGTTTTCCAGAAACAAAAAAAAAACAAAATTTAACAGACTTTTTACAGTAGTTACAGAGTTATGGTAATCCAAAAAATAAGAGACTGCCATGATAATTTAATATAATACTTCTTGACTCCTAAGGAGAGTATATTTGTCTGCCTTAAATGCTATTCCACTATTTATATGTTTTTGTGATATATATAAATATATTTGATATGTATATACATATTTAACACAAGTTTATTTAATAAATAAGTTACAGGAAAGATGTAATTTGTTATGATTTTCTGCTACAAATTGGATTCACAAGGAACAACAAATACAGTTTCTGTTAAATATGAGCATTTCGATTTATAAAGTAATGATATGATTATAACAATATATAGAATGGAAGTTGAACTCGTTAGCTCCAAGTTGATAAGTATGGTTACTAGTTACAGACGTGGCCAGTAGAGTAATAGTCATTCTTTACGATCCATGTAGGCGACCTCGTTATTTTTCAATTATTTTATTTTATTTTAGATATGTGTATTGAACAATGTTTTAAGTATCTATTGTGCCAGATATATCACATTTCTCACATTGATCTCAAGACTATCTTAGTGACAATATCCTAATAGCGTACGAAATACAGTCGTTTCTTGCTGGAGCAAGAAAAGATTGTTCTGTAATATTTGCGTGTTTATCGCAATTGTAACGAATTCCTCAACAATCTCATTTTCTTTCGCGCAATGAATATATGGAGCTTTCTTCCGATCTAGTACACATAGAGCTTTCGGTATGTACAAGAAATAGGCTTAAAAGCAAAAGTGCATGTGAGGTATGTGACTATGACCTACTTTTAATAATTCATAATAAAACAAAATACAACTTTTGGATTTTAGTTGACATTGGAAACTCGGATCAAGATATCATTTGGAATGATTTTAAAGCACTTTTATGAACATTTTTATACACAAATAATAAACTCAAATACGGACTTCTTAATGAATATAAAACTAATTCAATTAAACATATTGTTTAATAATGTTATCTGTTTTTTATTATATATCGTAAAAAACACGCGTCACTTTCGCCATCAGTTTCAAATAATTGACAAATTGCAAAAGCAATTTTAAGCAAAATCAATGAAAAGACCATAAAATGGCACTACTGTAAAAAAAGGTCGCACTTTTAATAAAGTAAACATTTAGCGATATCGTCCTTCGGTTCCCAGTTTACTTACAAAAAAAACAAGGCTTTCTTTACTTTCTTTATACTTAATGCTTTATACTTTAACTTTATTACCGTGCTCACTTGCGGTTCATGTTTCTGGTAAATTTTGCCATTTTTATGACACGCCCACATTTATGACACTTTCCTTATCAAAAAAGTCAAGAACTGCTGCTTACGAATAAAAATAGTACGAAAAAAAATCTCATAGAATTCACTTCTTCCTTTGTGCGGCGCCTTTTTCCTTGACTACTCTTCTTACTATGTGGAGTACCTTTTTTATAATTTTAGCTTCACATTTTCTTGCTATACTTAGTTTGTAACGAATACGTCCTTAGAAGCAAAATCGATAGATAACAACTTTTTTATTTTTGAAGTTTTAAGTCCGCTGCTCTATCAGTGCGCTCACTTAATAAAGCTGACATTTTTCGCTCGACTTCCGAGCGCTGGCAGCGTTGGCTGCATTAGTAGACAGAAGCGGAAGTTTATAAATACAAAATATAGAAAGGGTAACCTTGGTCTCTGTGCACTAGTGTGTACTAGAGTGTACTACACAACATATAACAACAATGTAGGGTTTATGGGAGAGTAAATGGTTTCGGTGGTGTGGGATTTTTGCAGTGGTGTCGATGTTGTCAGTTCCATCGATGATAAATGATGCATTTCTGTACAGAACTGCGACTTCATGTCCTCCACATTGTGTTGCAAGTTATCGTTGCTGTTGCTGTTACTGTTGTTGCCGTTGCCGTTGCTACCGTTGTTACCGATGCTACTGATACCACTGAGCTGCTGCTCTTCTTGATGAAGCTTTACGGTCGCTTCGATATTGATGCCTGTGGGTTTTCTTGTTCAATTTTTTATGGGATATGCACAGCCTTTCAAGCAAATTTACTGTGGGTACCGTGGCAACGTTTGCTTCAATTGGAAAAATAAATCGCTATTTTGTGCGAAAGTAATGCGATTTTAATAAATGTAGCGCGAAAAAGTGAGCTCGGCAGATATGTACACAAGTACGTCAATGATAAATTGTGCTTGAAGCTAATTTCCTTGTGAAAAAGGTAAAGAACTTCTTCAAAATTTATTGGCAACGTCTGGAAAATGACAATTTTTTTCGTCTTTTTCATGCAAAAATGCAAAAAAGATGCTCGAACCACATTTTGAAAATCTAAGGACGTAAAGGTAGAGAATTAAAAAAAGATTGTGGTTGAAAAGAATTTATGAACATGTTAATTAGTCTATATTTGTGAATCAAAACTGATTAGAACTATATAATTTTTTGTTTAGTTAGTAATTTATAGCAATGAATGGTGCGGTGGCTTAATAACATAGTTTAATAGGCAAGTAATATGTTTCAGAACGAGTATTTGTGTTATTATAAATCCAGCTGTCTGTCGACAAAAAATTGATATTTAATTTCTTTTCCTTTTTACTTCCATCAAAAATTTTTTTTCTTTAAATTAGTCAAAACCTGCTTATTTAATTAGTTATTTTATAGGTAAAGATTTTTGGTTTGTGGGAGGCAATTCGGTAAAAGAAAAACAACTTTAATTTCTAGTTGATATTTTAAGTTCTGCATTTAATATCTATATTATCCTTAGTGCACTGTATGTTTGCAAGTTTAGCTTTAATGCATATTAAATCAAAATTGCTTGCTTTTAGTAATTTTCCTTTTCAGAATTCATTTTTAATATTTCCACACTGCCAGCAGTTTAAATGAATTTACTTTTTCTTTGCCCTTATGATGTGAACTATATACCATATATGAACACACTAGTTTCTATACGTATTTGCACTACATCCTTGCGTATCCTTTAGTGTAATTTTTCGTTTATTCCATTTGCTCCCTCAACTATTTACATTTTACTTTTATAACGCAATTTAACTTTATACAAATTTGCATTGAAAGGCCATTAACCCTTTGCATTCGAAGCAGTTTTTTTAGTCATATTGCTTTAGAAATCTCGTAGCCTTGCTAGTACGACGTCAACGTGTGGAAACAATATGAAAGGAAATTTCTATGAAATTTATGTAAGCGACGAGTACATATTTTTACTTATATGTAAGTATATGTCTTATAGGTATCATCCTTTGGTGCTTGTGATAAATTTAAATTTGCTTTGAATCAATGATTGAGCTCATGCCACGTAAGTTTAGCGACGAGGCAATCTCACAATCAACACACAGTCAGTCACGCCAATAGAGTGACAGACAGCTTTACTTACAGGAATACACCTGAAAGGATATTCAGCACTCTACTATGAGATAAGATCACTCATACAGCAAGCACAAGAAAGCATGTTTCAAAGAAGTACGTTTACTACGGCTTCGCTTAGCATTCCGTGAATGCTTAAGGTAACGTACTTCTGAGCGGCGGCAGAAAAAAGGAATGAAGCGGGTTATGAGGCAATATCAGCTCAAAACATGTAATAAGAACGTCAACACGCTTTTCATAACACAGGCAGACAGACAATTTCTTTGCATCCTTTGCAGTGAAGTTGCGTAAACGAGCGCACGGCTAAGAAGTGAAGAAAAATTGATGGAAGTAAGGAATTCTGCAGTGTTTTACGAGCACAAAGGAGTTTGTAGGTTAATGCCTTTCTCTATGTTTATTCAGTGGCACCTTTTTGCGATTTGAAGACACAGCATCCCTGTCAACGGGCTCTTAAAAAAATGAACCACTCAAGTGTGTTTTCAGTGTGCATTGATGAGATAAGGTTTAATGATTCGGAGCGGCAAAGAAGGTCATGAAATAAAAGCAACAAATGGTTGCGAGTCGCTCGATTTATTTAAGTTAAAAGAGAACACAGTTTCATAGTTTTGAAAGATGCAACGAAAGTAAAGCAAAACTAGCGAATTTAGTGCTAATTTAAGTGCTTAAGTTGCGCATAAGCTGCTTTGGAAGAACAACACTGAGGTGAAGTGCAACTAATAAGAACAGTGCAAAAGCGACATTTAACAAGTTGCTTTGATGTAAAAGCCATGAGTTAATTGCCACGAAATTAGTTTAACATAAAAATGTCTACTTAAAACTATTTATGATGAGTTTTCATGAAATTTTATTTAAAATTTTTTTACCAT